ATGATGAGGTACAAGCTTTGCTTCTTTTATCTTCTTTACCGGATAGTTGGTCAGGATCAGTCACGGCTATTAGTGGTTCAGCTGGAAACACCACACTCACGTTTGAGGGAATCCGTGATTTTATCTTAGGAGAAGACATCAGGAGAAAGAATACAGGTGAACCATCAAGTTCTCTGCTGAGCACTGAGGGAAGAGGTAGTAAGAAAGAGAGGAGAAACAGTTACAGGGGAAGATCTAAGTCCAAAGGCAGGAGAGGGAGTTCAAAGACAAAAAGCGACATCAAGTGTTGGAACTGTGATGAGTACGGACACTTCAGAAATCAGTGCACCAAACCACCTAGCGACAAGAAAGAGGTGAATGCTGCCACAACCTCAGATTCTGACGATGTATTAATTTGCTGTGTAGAGGACACAGTCGAGTCCTGGATTATGGACTCAGGTGCGTCATTTCATGCTATCTCTAGTTCGAGAAAGATGAAGAATCTCAGACAAGGCAACTTTGGTACTGTAAGTCTAGCTAATAATCAAACGCTGGACATTACTGGGGTGGGAGATATTGACTTAAAAACCAACTTGGAAACAATTTGGACATTGAAAGATGTCAGGGTAATTCCCAAACTGAGAAAGATGTTGATTTCCATTGGGCAATTGGACGACCAGGGGTATAATGTTCACTTCGGGGCTGGACAATGGAAGGTTGTCAAGCGAAGTATGGTAATTGCTAAGGGAAAGAAACAGGGTACTTTGTACATGGCTGAGACAACTGCAGGTGATGCAAACACAGTAGCTAATGGGCTGAGTCTCTCCAAGTTATGGAATCAACGACTCGGCCATATGAGTGAAAAGGGGATGAAAATGCTTGTCGCCAAAGGAAAGCTTCCAGACCTAAAGAAAGTTGAATCTGAATTCTGTGAACCTTGTGTTTATGGAAAGAAAAAGAGGGTATCTTTTGCGAAGACGGGGAGAGTACCCAAAGCTCAGAAGTTAGAGCTTATTCATTCAGATGTTTTTGGTCCAACGCGAGTTGAATCCCTAGGAGGCTCGAGATTCTATGTGACCTTCATAGATGATGCCACACACAAGGTATGGGTTTATTTTCTTAAAAGTAAATACGAAGTATTTGATGCTTTTAAGAAATGGAAAACTGCCGTTGAACTTGAAACTGGTTTGAAGGTGAAATGTTTGAAATCGGACAACGGAGGGGAGTACATTAGCACAGAGTTCATGGACTATTGTGCTGAACGAGGCATTCGGATGATAAAGACTGTTCCACGCACTCCTCAACAAAATGGAGTCGCAGAAAGGATGAATAGAACTCTAAACGAG